GTGGTTTGATTGTTTTCTCGCTTGTCCGTTTGTCGGCTAGACTGTCAGTGGCCATCAGCAACACCGCCACCAACACTATGGTTACTGTTCGAAACTTGTGCTCTGGCCATTGTCGTTGACAGTGCTTCAACGTGTTTTCAGTCTTACGGTAACTATGGCTAGGGTATTCGCCAACTGATTTACCGATCACCCCTTTGTCTTGGTTAACATGAACCGCCACTATACTACCCAACGGTCGAATCGTTGGATCTCGGCGGGTTGTAGAAAAAATGTAAATGCCGCCTCGACACTCTCAATCAATTAGTCTTAATTTATAATCGCGCGGATTACGGTGTTAATTATCGACATACCAACGGCGGCGACAAAGACTCTTTGCCAGTAAATGTATATTTGTGTGCTTACTGTTCACAGCGCGAACATAACCGCCTGCAGCCCAGCATGAAAATTCATAATATATATATACAAACCGTACATGCATACATATATGTACGTACATTCACTTTTAATGCATTTATGTGTGCATATTTATAGATGCAATGTGAGCTTTCGTTCGTTTATCCATGAAGTGTCAGTTATAAAAGAAAATAAAACAAAAATCAAAGAAAATGATTTTTCGTTTCTTTGAAATTTGTGCAAAAATGTTTACGTCGGCCCATCGTCAACATTAACTACTATTGCTTGCACTATCGCCATCGTCATTAGCATAACCATCAGGTAGCAGCAGTTAGATTTTTGTTGCCAACAATCGCCATCGCCACATCTCGTCAACGTCCTCCCGGCCAAACTTGTACATACTCTTCACCCCTACCCGTATGTATGTATATACCCATGTACTTGCATTTAATTAAGTACACCGAGGCTGTGTGGTTGTGGTTGCGCTCAACGAACGTAATTGACTAAGTATTTTCAAAGCTTTACGACGCACAGTTGTCGGCGTCAAACCAAGCAAATTGAAGAAGTGAAGCAAAGTGGTTAAGTGGTATACATTGATGTAGCGGCAAATATAGTGAATTAAAGTGGTGTGTGGTGTGGGGTGTGCAGTGTGTGCGGCGAACTAGGTATAGTGTAGTAAAGTGAAGGTGGTCGTCGACACCAAACCATAACTTGTGGCCGCACCCAATCGTAGTCGCTGTAGTCGTCGCCGTTGCCGTTGTGGTTGCCTTTGCTGATTCGCATAGCTTTATTTTTTTCTAGTTCCTCTAGTACAACAGCAGCAGCAAAGCCAGCAAAAGCAAACTATGTAGTCGGAATAACCAAAGAGCCAACTAGCCAGTTTTCTAGCACTCGTATGCGCAAGCAAAGGAGCAATCTGGCGAGCGAGCGACGGTAGCATGCTGTTCCATTATTCGCAATTGCATAAATACTCGAACATATGTATGTACATGCATACATACATACGTGCATATGTACATATTCTAATACCAATGCATTATGGTTGGCGCTCACCGCAGCGGAGCAAACTGCAAACATTGATTCGCCCGACCTATACTTCCTCCCATCCACCCGTGATTTCGGTTGCTCACTATTCACTAGCAAACCAGCTAAAATCTCACTGCACTAACATTATTGTGGCATCCGTTATGATTTTGCCCTGGTGCTCAATTGAGATTTTTGAGTACTGAGAGTTTATCTGCAAACGACTGTGTTAGCTTGGAATATGAAAAAAAGAATCTTTATATAGTCGCTCAGATCAAGAACTGCAAATAATCCACTAAAACGCCCCGAGGCTTACCACGACAACAACTGATGAAAACAAAAACCTTAAAAATATGTTCCCTTTTGCCAAAGAGAGAGACACGAACAGCAAGGAAAAAAAAAAAACGATGCCAAATTTTTCATTATCTTTTTGTTACTTAAAATTAATTTGAAAGACATGTGGATTTTTCTTAGTAATAGATTTCGGAACCCACGGGACCCGCGGTACAATTTGGAAAAACTTCGGGATGGGCGGGTTCGGGACTTAAAAATTTTATTTCGCGACGGGCGGGAACGGGATTAAATATTTAGTCCAGTGCCCATCTCCCAGCTTACACGAGGAGATCGTTACAATGATTACTGTTTTTCACATCATTACAATTCCTGAAGTCTTTTTTTGGAATGCTACTGGAGTGATCGTCCTTGGTCAGATACACACAAGTCTGAGTCGTGCCGGTTATGTAGACCCCACTTGTCGTAGGAAAGGCTTAAAAAACAGATTGAGTTCAAAAATATGCTCGTCCAGTCTTTCCGCTTATCGGCATTTGATATTTAAGTTTTTAGTTACATATATTTTCAATCAATTCTTGCCCCCGAGGTACTTACATTATGTTCATCAAGAATAAACTACTATCCACTCATATTTTCCTAGTCCACGCCAGCAGGCTGATTATCGCCTACTGTGAAGGTCTATTGCATCATTCCGTTTTTTCTCAGAGATCTGGCTCAATGTACTGGTTTGGCAGAATATTTTATTGTTTCTCTTGCGAAGCATCTCAAGCATAATTTTTTTGTTATTGTTCATTCGCTCTGATTTTTGAAAGTGTTGTTTGTTTGCAAAAATTGCAACCATATGTTTTCAGATCATAAATATGTTTTCGTGATGGATAATTTTTGCTGGCTAAAGTTTTTCCAGCATAAAATGAATGCCCCTCTGCTCTCTCAGTTTTTGAGTTTTGGATGTGCATTAGGGTGGTCAACAAATGCATGTGAAAAAGTGAAGTCGGATTTTTTGTGCTCTCAGCCCCTAGGATTGTTCTATACCGAAAAAATATATTCATATTTTTTATTTTGAAATCAATAAATATTTATGTAGGGGTCGCTCACAGCGCTTAAAGTTTTCCATGTTTTTTTTATGAAAGAAAAAAAAACAACTTTTCGTAGAAATGATATGGACTTCTTAAAAATCTGTATTTTTCAGTCCGGAAGACACTATTTCCCTGCAGGTGATTACCATAATATTACCCAATTGTTTATTTAATCATTTTTTCATAAAACTATAAATTATGGGTTCGCAAAAAACCCCGAAAAATGCAATGGAGGGACCAATAAAAAATCGTTAGTATTAAAAAATGGTTAAATAAACAATTAGGTATTATTATTGAAAGTCTCCTGAAGAGAACTAGAGTTGATTTTCAGGAATTCTATACCATTTCTACGAAAAGTTGTTTTTCCCCATATAAAATACATGGAAAACTTTGAGCGCTTGGAGCGACCTCTAAATATTTTTTGATTTCAAAATAAAAAATAGGGGTGTACGTTTTTTCGTTATAGAACAGTCCTAGGGCTTGAGAGCACTAAAATTCCAGCTTTACTTGTTTCGGACCACCCTAATGTGCATATGTACTAGTTACATATTTTTAGTTCCTGCCCGAAATCTTGTAACCTCTTGATCTTTATTAGGTCGATACCTTTCTCGTAGAATACATTGTTGTATGCTTGTAATTGACATCTTTCCAGATGCGTTTTATATTCCACACACGTACAAGCTCGCTTTGATTAATTATTTTGCTTAGTACGATCCAAACGCTAGCTATTGTGTTGTGTCTAAAAAAATTTTGTTTTCTGTGAACAGTTTGCTATTATTGGCAATTAAAGTTCACTCGCTGATTTTTAATTTTGTGTAGTTTTGTTTTCCACATAGTACGGCTCCCAAGTTCAATGTGAAATAATCAATTTATAAATTAAAAACAATATATAACAATGCAGATAAATTAAAAATTAAACGTCGTTAGGAAATGTGAAATAAATAAATCGTTTTACCGCGCGTACACCAAATAAGAAAAATATAGGCCGCCTAAATAAAAGGTTAACACTTGGCTGGAGAAAAACATCGAGAAAAAGTCAACGTTTCATCGAAATACATAATAAAAACATTGCCGAGAGATCAGTTATATGTATACATAAGCTCTTGAACTCTCTTTTTCCTTATAAAACTAAATTTTTCGCAAAATTAGAAAAATGAAAATGAATGTGTTTGACTACTTTCGGTACTACAAGTACTTCGTTAAACTTTGTCACGGTACAAATGGAAGTGATGTACGTATGTGTACGTGAAAAAAGTTGGTGTATTATACAATAAAACATTACTGGTAATTCTATTTGAATTACTTTGCATTACGCCGAGCACTTTGTGTGGTGTAATTGTAGTTGCTGCCGTGTTTGTATTCCGTGTTTTCGATTTCGTTTTCGATTCGAAAACTCACGGAACATCATACGCATCGTACAAAATAGCAATTATAGTACGTGTAGAGTCTTCCGGAGGCAACGCGCAGGATGGCGCTGCTGCGGAGCCGACGAGCCCTGGAAAAACATCGACTACAACAACAGTATCCGCAACCACAACAACAACAACAGCAACACCAAATCCACCGGGTGCCAACACAATCACAACTAGTCCAATACAACCATGTGCGTCAATTTCTTCCGCAGAACAAAATATCTCACCATTGCAACGCGATATTTCGCCAAAGGTGAGTTCGTAAAGTGAGAATAAAGGGACATGTCATGTGCGCACACAACGGTGCTATGTTCGGCTCGTCATTCCTCGGAATTTTTTTTTAAGAATCTGCATGTAGAGAATATCGAAGCGGGAATCAAATCACTGTACTGAAGCCCTGAAATCACAATATTATACATAACTTTTAGATCCCATTGGTAGAGTTACATTGAGGTTTTAATTCAAGAACATTAGTTCCGTAGCGTATTGCGTAAAATGCTAAAATTAATCTTCACGTGGACACTGTTTGCAGTCTCCCTGTAGTTTACTAAACCTGATTTTCCTTTAACCAAACAAGGTGGAATACTGGTGGCTTTCAATGCACTTTTTTTTTTAATAAAATACATTTTTCACTTATACCAATAATTCTTTAGGTATTTTTATAAAAAATATAAGAAATAAAATATTGAAATTTTATATATGTATGTAGTTACATACATGTACATGTACATCTATTACCTTTATAATTTAACTTGAAAAATAATAATTTCTAATTACGTGACATATTCGCATCTTATCTTCACAGGGCTCTGAAAGGTTGGCACCTATAGTTTTTCCTTCGACTCCTGCACAACACATCGCAAATGCGACACCGAGTCCTACAACTCCACGAAAATCATCAGATTATCCACAGCAGGCGACAAGTGTTAATGTTAAGAATGAGAGCAATGAGAATTTTCCGGCGCCAATTGTCTCTGCGGGTGTGGTGCCCGGTGTGGGTCCGGCAGTGGGAGTGGGCAGCGGAATCGGGAGTGGAGTTTCAGGCATGTCTCCTGCTGGCTTGGGACAGCAAAACAAAGATAATGTTCCACTGGGAAAGAATAGTAGTCAAACTACTGTCAATTCGATGGACGCGGTGTCAGGATCGGGAGTTTTATCACCGATGCTTCAGCCGGCAAGTACAAGTGTATCTGCATCTTCTTCACACACGGCTACGATCACTAATGAAAAGCCATCAGCTAGCCCAAACACACAACCCATACAACAGCATCAGCAGTTGCTACCTCCGCAACAGCAAGCTCCGGTGGCAAGCATTCAACCAAATTTGCCGCCTAATTTTTCCACAGCATCGCATCAGGTAAGCATTACTTTCGAACAGAAAAACTATGAAAACCTTGACACGTAGTTGTAAACAAATTAAAAGCAGGTTTGACCAGGTAAGCACCGATTGAGAAGGATAGCCACTACTTTAGAATATAATAGATTCGTTAGAGGATGGGCACTGCGACCCTACCCTAGGTCTATTGTGCCCTCAGAGCTCAACACAATACCTCGTCCAGCCCTTATTCCTAGGGTATGCATATGAGCCCATAGCCTGCAGTGACCTGTTAGCAGTCCTGTAATAAATTTCATATTAGTCTTGTGGAGTGTCATTAGTTCTCTGGATCTTCTGGGGTTATAGCTTCCTAGCTTTCACTTGCCTTAATCCAGACGTGTTCTCCTCGTGTGTCCTACTTAGGTGAACCACTACTTTAACTGTGCCTATCAAAAGCCACTTCGAGATTAATAAAATCTGCAGTGGAATTCTAGCAATCGCTACGCTAAATTTTCCTCGCCAAAATTCTCTAAATGAAAAGCAGTGGGGCCTAAAAGTATACCACATGGAAAGGTAACAGATGCAATGTATAATCAGCGAAACCTGACAATATGAAGGCCATATAAATATATGTTGCGTGATGCTAGGCACACCTGCTATTCTTTTGGAGATTTTTGGCGATCAAAATTAGCGATAGCAAATGTTGGAATCCGGCTGCTGGGGAATTTATAGTTTAAAATTTTTTAGTCGGTCTTACATAGTTTTTAAAACCCTATTGAATATTTTAGGTGTTCATTTCTCTTTTGGCTATAACGTGGTGATTAACTTAGAAAAAGCGGGAGAGGGGTGATTATATTTATTTACATGCATAAAAAACTTATTTATGTAAAAAATTTGTCGTAGGTTAATGTAGCCAATGATAGCCATCTGTAAGGTGGTCTTTATTATTAGAAGTCATGCAGAGCCCCGAAGTGTTGTCGGGATTGGGGTTTTTAATTTTCACTCACAAATCGTCCAAACCCATATTTAGAGTGATTTTTTTTTACAATCAGGTTTTAGCCTAAAATTTGCTTTACATAGATGAGTATTATTAAATATATTTACCCCATTGAACGAATAACTCAGTTTTTTTTTCTATATTTAAGGTGCCCACGGAAACGAGAAACTTGGTCCCATCTTCACCCGCACAACAGCTTATTGAGAGCCCGTTTGGTCCAAAGCTAGCAGCAAATCCCGTTGGCGGCCATCTCGTTAGCTCGCCAATCAGTACTATTCACACAAAGAATTTGCCTCTCACTCAAGGCAACAATGTGCAAAGCACGGTAACACCAATTTCCATGATGTCTGGACCAATGACGACAACAGTAACATCGGCATCTGTTATGGGTGGCTTTGGAGCTAGCAGCAGATTGGGTCCCGGGCCACCTATGCATCATTTGCAAAGTGGTTTTACATCAGTATCAGCTACAAATCCCAGTATTGGTGTAAAACCAGGAGAAGTGACAACTGCCGCTGACGTACCAAAAAGTATTGCGGCACCGCCACCTGTAATAAATGGTTTTATACCCGCTTTCCTGCCGGGGAACGCATCAGCGCAAAATAGTGTTCGCATCTCACCTCACATGGGTCATATGACACCAGCAACAAGTGGGCCGCCAATCTCGGTCGTGCCGCTATCGGCAAATTCCACCACATCAGCGTCTGGCATTCCTGGATCTGTTACCAATACAAATGTAGCAATGTCTTTACCCGTTACAGTGGCGGCTTCGTCGGGGGCTATGACATCGGCAACTATGGCCACCATGCCGAAAGGTTCTTACGTGGTTAGCACAAATACCACAGGTACAATGTCAAGTAGCGTATCAGGTCCAAACCATGGCATATTTGCTCAAGGTAATGTAGCTATGGGCATTCCCGGTGGACCGCCGATTATGAGTGGTGTTCCAAATGGCATGACCCCAATGCTAATTCATTCGCCCTATCGCACGCCGTATCCGGGATATCCTTTATATGCACCATATAGCGGTCTGCCACATAGTCCCTATCATCCACCTGGCGTGCCATCACCTAATGCGTCTCCCCGCACAATCGACACACGTACTGGCAGAGAAATAACACCCATAGCACCTTCACCTAAAGTAATTGCAGCTGGGATGCGGCCGATGACACCAGTGAGCAGTTCGAATTCGGCTCCGACAACGCCTGTTAGCAGTAGTGGCGGTACGACAATTGCTGCACCACCACCACAACCACAGTCAACTGCAGCGTCAGTGCAAATGTCACTGCCAGGTTTGATACCAGGTCCCGGGCCAGGTATGCCACCTGGTCAAGCTCCGCATTTATTGCACCACATGCCCTTTGGAGCTAATCCACATGGGCCGCCACAGCCAATGCCGACTGGTGTTGGAATGCAGATGGGCATGGGAATGCCAAATAATCATGGTTACAGCAGCAGTAATAGTAGTATCAGCAATAATACAAATACAACAACAACAGCATCGATCGCAAACGCAACATCCTTAAGCAGCAATAGTAATAACAGTGGCAATAGCAATAGCGGCATAAACAGCAGTGGCAGTGGTGGACCAGTGGCTGCTAACAACAATGCTATTCAAATGCAGCGTGGAGAGGGCTCACAATTACTTCCGCCACCTCCTCCGCATATGCTTTCACATCCACATCTACCACCACCGCCCACCCACACCGGAGCGGTGGCGCCGGGCCCACATATGGCTCCCATACCACACATGCTAATGCATCCACAACATGCAATGTTGCGCGGCATTTCTCCCAGTACTGCCAACACGGCCAGCGGTGGTAATTCCGGCCTACCGTTAATTGGTGGCCCTGCTTCTTCATCTGTGATTCAGAGAGTTATCTCCCCTAAAAATGAAAATCCCAGCAGGGAGCGCGATATCGCATACAGGTACCAATACATTCACACTTATTATTATGCCAATTTTTATACCCGCGCGCACTTGTATATAAGAGTATTATATCTTTGTTCGCATAACGGTTATTGAGAATTAGAAAAATCAGATAAAATCCACGCCAACTTCCCATATAAGGATAGTTTTCAATAACTATTGAAACCCAATTCATTGCTTAATTGCTCATATTCAAATTCAGGAGTACCGTTAATTTCTTCGTGATCCAATGATCGGAAGTAAACAAAATTAGTATGGGACCACCATCCGATAAAAATTAAAAATTATCGAAAACGGTTACGTAGTCCAAAGTTATCCGGTCGTCTTAACGATTTTATTTATTCATATTTTTCAGTTCAATCAATATCAAAAGCCATGAAAATCTTTTTAATTTCATAGGGAAAATGCAAGAAGTTTTAAAATTTTCAATTCGATTGGTATTTCTTGCCTTTTCCCAGGTTTTGTATAGTTAAAAAAAAATATTCTCGTGAACTATATTTTTATAAAAAAAAAAATTGAAAAATTTTGCATGGAAAATCGAATTGAAAATTTTAAAATTTCTTGCATATAAATAAATAAAATTGTCAAAACGTCAGGTCCAGGGTATGCCTATTTTTGTCACTGAATATATGAGAAATATTCAGATGAATTGATAACCTCCTCCTTTTTTGAAGTCGTTAAAAAGCAAAACACAATGTTTAATATGTACGTGCGCCGGATATATAAAGTTCGGTTTCGTCCGAACGGATTTTTGGTTATTTTTTTTTTTAATACTGAGAATACTTAATTAATTTTCCATTGTGTTATTCGATCTTATGACATGTAAATTCTTTATTACAGCATACCGCGCTCCGCGCCATCTATGAATACTCACAGTAGTGGCAGTAACAGTTTACCTACTGGTGCTCCACCATACATGACAACTGCTGTCAGTAACAACAGTGTGGGGTCCGCAATTCCGGTGCCCTTTAGTAGCACGGTTTCTGCGATGCATCCAATGCATTCGCATCCAACGACCACAATGGCATCATCGCATCAACAACACATTGCTACGTCGCCTAGTCTACCCTATCCACCCAAAAATACACTATGGCCCAGGTAAGTCAACGCAAAAAAAAACACAAAGCATTAGTGGACCGCATAAAAGTTTATTTTAATAAATATAAAAACATTAATACTTTAGTTCATCGCTGCAATTAACTCCATCAACGGCAACGACGATCAGCACGTCATCATCATCCAGTTTGACAACGCGTCCAACCCCGCCGCCGGCGCAATCTCAGGCATCATTAAATATAGCTGGTGCTTCGTCTGCTTCCAATGCTGCGACAGCTGCTGCTTCAATGCCTGCTAACTCAGCTTCTCCCCAAACATCACACGCTGCTGCTGGATCTCTTACTACATTTCAACCTCCATTTTTCATTACTCCTTTGCCACCTCCTCCACCCATAGTACCCGCTTCTTCTATAAGCAGCACCTCAACTACACCATCTGCATCGTTGGCGTCATCGGGTGCAGGAACTATAGTTGGAGCTGCACCAGCGACTGTTGGTACCACATCGGCATCTTCAATGTCCTCCACACAGACGACTGTTACCACAGCAACAAGTACACCGGTAACAACATCGGCACCACATCCTTTCTCGGCCGAATCTCTATTTCAAACTAGCAAAAGTAATTGAACATATTAATTTTTATTTTGAAACTGCTACTACACATACACATTTTTCATTATTTACTTCCCAATCCCCCTCCTTGGAACCATTACACGCCTTTTTTGTACCTTAGATGATCAAGCAGATCTGTTGAGGCGTGAATTGGATAGCAGGTTTCTCGATCGTTCTGGTTTGGCTGTACAACCGCCGGCACCACCACCACCCTCCACGTATTTACGTCAGGAGCTGCACCATCACCAGCACCAACATACACACCTACATCAGCATCAACAGCTTATTCCGGCCGCTTTGCCGGCAGCACTTCCAGCTGCACCGCCCCCAGCACCGGCACCCATATTCCCGCAATTATTCAAAGACATTCCAAAAATTGCGGCAGTGGAAACACCGTTCTATCGAACCGGCATTGGTTTGCCTGGCTATCCGGGATATAATTCGGGACTGCTACATCCAGGGCTAGGTGGAGCAACGCCTTTCATGCCGCCCGGGCACCTAACTTCATTCGCGCCAAAGGTAAAACATTACTTATCTCTGCATGTACTGCACAAGCGAATGCGGACACTGCTGCACAGTATATAGCTTATATACTGATACTTTTACATAACTACATACACATACCTACTATTATACACAAATTTTAAATTGTCCACTAACAAACTATCCGCCAAACAAACATACATTCCTCTAACACCTTTTCTTGTTTTCATGTTAACAATCATCACCATGTTACGTTTCGTATCCCAACAACCAAACAATCCAATTATTTAGCCGCCACCGCCATCATCGCCCTCCGCTAACACCAATGCCACGAACTCAAACAATCCACCAACGAATCTTGATTCCTCTAAATCTGCGAGGTTTACGGTATGTTTTTTTTTTTGTTCTGAACACCATCTGTAGAAATCTGAACATTTAAAAATTATTGGTTAAGAAGTATGTAGAGTCGGTAGCAGCACGTTAGCAAAAGCTAATGAAATACAAATTTTTTAGTAGCTAAACTAATGAGACGTTTTAAATTTTATTTTAATTTATTTTTTGTTCTTATTATAAATTTGTAAGTCCAAATAAGTTACGTATTTTAGTAAATCAAATGAATGGAACGTTTTGAAAAGTAAGATTTTAACCGTTTGTCAATTGAGGCAGCAGACTATTAACTAATTGATTTTGAATATTTTAAGGCAGAGAATATATCCAATGCTATTTATGCATTTTTAACGTAATTCGTACAGGAATTCTATTGCATGCATTCGTGATATTCGGCTACACAGATATTTTGCAGCAAGCTCGGAGAGAGTTTGGCAATTATAGCAAACTAAATTTATTGGACCAAACTGTCGTAGAATTAGTGTTGCCGTAAACAATTTTTCGGGGCAATTGTTGTTATACACAAAAAGTGCAGCTATACCAAAAAATAGAAAACTGAATGTATGCTGTGGGTGCTTCAAAGCTTACGAACCGGTTAATTTATGTACATCTGCAATTTAATTTCGTGTTGGCGATAGGCATATAAACAACACTCATGGTGTTACCCTATGCCTATGAATTAATATCCGAATATAAGGAAACTCAGTGTAACTATCTCAGAGCAAACTAAAGAGCTGTCATCTTGTTTGCCAAACAAAAATTTCGTTTTCATAATACAGAGCTAACCTGCAACCGTGTGCCAAACTCGATGTAACCGCCTTAGAGCAAAGAAAGCAACCCCACAACCGTCGGGATTGTCACTTCAGCAAAACTCCCCAAAAGAACCTTTGGGGAATTCGTATGATGTTACAACTACAACAAACAAAGCAAGTTGTTTGCTAAACAAAAGTTGGTCTGCATAACACCAACCTAACACATCAGTGAGTGGTGTATGTGTTTCAGTTGTGTATTAGCCAGAGATCGCAGAGAACAGTTAACCAGAAAAATCATTTATGTTTCTCCCAAGGCGAATTCGTACAAGGTCGCCTTATTCTTAGCCTTACATGTGTTTTATCTTTATTTTTGCGATTTTAGCTATCAAATTAGTAAAAGCAAAAACAATAGGGGAATTCGCTCTTATGTGTATTCGTTGTATGTTGTGTAATCGTAACTTCATGAGCGTGTGATTTGTTGTTGCTAGCGGTACATCAAATACACATGCAACAACAATCGCACGCTCGTTCAGTTACACTTACGCAGGATACAGCGAATACACAGAAGCGCGAATACCACTAATATACATGTAAATTTTGTTTTTGTACTATGTATTCCTTCTATATACCTTTTGTGATTTCGCCTTGGCTTGTACGTATATGCTGTTAATGGTTTCTCATTTTACGATACACTTCGTCCGTTATAATAGGTGCGTTCGTTTAAAATCTCCAACAGAAACCAACCAACTGCCAAATTCCGGCGAAATGTCATCTGTTCGCTCACAAGAGAGAAATATCCAAAATAGTACGCGAACAGAAAATTTGCAGAAACTTGCAAGTTAGACGAACAGCTGATATAATTTTTGTTTACATTCAAAAGTGTAAAATTTAAAACGTTCGAAAACTCATTACAAAGTGGTATCCTGGCACAGTTTATTGATAAAACAAATAACTACTTACTTCTTACAAGTTTAATTAGTCGCATTTTGTAATTTTTAACTTCCAAATCATCAAATTCAATTTTGTGATTTGCGTAAATGCCAACCAGCTGTTTTTGATCAGCTGTTTTCCTGTTGGCAAATTGCTGTTGGCAAAAATTTTTCCAACAGAAACCAGCAGCTTCCCCTCAAAATGAAATGTCACTTTGCTCTCTCAATTTCCCCTACTTTGCAAGTTTTTTGCGTACGCGAACGCAAAAACTTGTAAGTTTTGGTTAAACATGAACAATTAACAGCTACGCGAACGAACCTAATATAGTCGGCAGAGCTGGCCAACTATCGATACTGGCTTCGTTCGATACTTTCGATGTTTAGAAAGAAAAAAATCGATACTATCGTTCCATCATACCGGGTGAAGTAATAAGAGCCAAAAGATAGATTTCACAGTGCCTTATTTGAAAATATGCCTTAAAAATTGTATTTGAGACCACGGCGCAATAACCAAAAAAGTAAATCCTTCGATATATCAATAGTGCCATCGATAGGTTGCCAGCTCTAACAGTCAACCGCTGAGATTTAGTTTTTGGGATGAAATCGCTATCGAATGCCGTGATCTCAATATCAAATTTCGAATACCACGATTCGGGCCCAGGTTTGTTCATGAATCGCTTCCAATAAGGGCTGCGAGTTCTATTCGGATTTTTTGAATATCTGGATATTCAAATATTTGATAAAAAAATACGAATACGTATCTGGATAACCAAATGAACGGATATTAAGCGGATATCCGGTTATTGTAACAATATCCGGATATAAGGATACTCATACATACATATAAAAAAGTACGAAAACACTAACCTAGCCAGTAGTTACTAACTAAAAAAATTTTAATTAGTTTTATTTGGGCAGTTTTGAACTAACAATTCCAAGAATATATTCCTTCGTTTGTCTAAAGTGCAAGAATCAGCTATTTTTCGTAGTGGCAAATTGTTAGAAGTAAACATTTCTCTAACATAAACTTACAATTTCAAAATTTGCCCAAAGCCAAGGTTTAAAGAAATGTTAGTATAGTTGAAGGCCTTTGAACCGTACATACATTCATATGTACATATGTATATGTACTATCGGTTGAATAGAACTTTTGATCACGAAAAGCATAATAAATTAATTTATATTATTACAATTATGTAAAGTTTTAATCTTCTGCATTTTAATACATATAATATTATTATTCACTTTAATATCGTGTCATATTTGTCTTAATCATGCTGATACAATTACTTCCACCCATTCCTATGCTGCAATTTTCACTTCCTCACATAAAAACAATACATAAATTATAAACATTAAAACACATGTATGAGGAGAAGCTTTAGAACCCTACTCAGTCAACATATGCGCTTCTTATCTTTCCAAATAGAAAACTGGTCGGTGGAATGCCATGCATGTGCGTATCGCGTGGGAGATTTACTATAACCAAAACAAACAAAATCCCGATAAACTAGCCAATAACCAGGCCGGCGTTGCTGGCGCAACTCCAGTTGGAGCATCACCAAGTGGGGCTCCTTCTTCTATGAATGCAGCTGGCAGTGTTGGACCTTCGCCATCTTCGTCGGTAACGCTAAGCGGTCTTAAAGCTTCGCCAGCACTATCGTTAAGCTCCGCGCCGCCACACATGCTGCATCGCCCGGGAGAGTTACCACCTGGTGCAATGGCAGCTTATGCTGCTGGTGCTTTGCCAGGTCGCTCGCCCTTCGAAACATCTCCGTTATCGACGAGTTTCATAGGAGCACCTCCCAGTCATATTGGTAATTGTCTTTAAACACAAATAAATGATCAATATATTATAAGGCTGTTGTCTTACAGGCACAGCAGTTTCGCCATTCGGTCGTTATGCTGCACCATTTGGTTTCGGTTTATCACACTTCGGCTGTGAAACGTGGCGGCCGTAAGTATTCTTCAAAAGTTTTAAATGAAAATAATTCTATTATAAACTTATGAAAATGTTTTCAATATTCTCACAGGTTACAACGTGCTGTAGCATATCATCCAGGCGCTACCAGCGCTCCTATGTGGCCAATAAAATCCGATCCGGCACTGGATAATGCGCGCCGTGAAGCGGAGGAACGTGAGAGGGAGCGTGAAATGCGCGAGCGCGAACAGCGCGAACGTGATCGGCAACGTCGCGAACGAGAAGAGCGTGAACGTAAAGAAAAAGAAGAGAAAATGAAGCGTGAGCAACAGGAGCGTGAACGTGAGCGTGAGCGGGAACGCGAACGTAAAGAGCGCGAACGCCGAGAATTGGAGCGGCGGGAATTGGAGCGTGAACGAATGATACAGCAACAACGCATTAACGAGAGTAACAAACTATCACAGGCGGCTGCCGCCGCTGCTGCAATGAACACAACACAGCGTGATCGTTCTCCACATCGCAGCATCAACGATCCGTTGGGCGGGCCCAGCGGTGGTGAGATACGTATAAAAGAAGAGCATCCGCGTACCAAAGAAGAACAAGATGCAATGATGATGCGTGCTTCAGCTGCTGCAGCTGCGGCGGGCGACGCACGCTATCATCAATCCATTGCAGTGGCTCAAGCTAGTGCGGCGGCTGCTGCACACCATGCATCTTTTATGGCCGGTCGGCATGGACCACACGCAGTGGGACCACCGCCACCGCCTCATCTCGCCCGCACAATGATGCCACCCTCTTTAGGCGGACCACCAATGACACATTTCGGACCTCCTGGACCTCCCGGTTGGCCAATGGACCCCTATCGTGATCCATATGCTCCAATGCTACGTTATAACATAATGGAAGCGTTGCGTCATGAAGAAGAGCGACACAAAGTGGCACTTAGCATGTATGCGGCACAGTCAGCGGCTCACCTACGAGGCAAAGAACCCAGCCCAATACCGCCGCCGACGGTGGGGGGTCCTTTAGGACCACCACCACCGCCACCACATCATCGCATTCAGCAGTCACCGCACCACCAACAATCGGTTGCCGGGCCACCGCCACCTACGATCATAGGAAAACCCCAAACACTTGGAGGTATGCCCCATCCGATAGCCATTGATGCGCATCATCCCGCAAAGAAGGATGAGCCTGGAGCGAATGTAGGAGTCAGTGGCATGCAAACAACGTCTTCGCCAGCGGCACAAGGTCGATGATAAATAACAACTCATATTTAGAAAGTGTAGTTGTCGAATTGTTGAAGAACTGCGATTGCAAAACTTGCTAATTTTTGTAAATGTGTTTTCTTTTTTGTGCAAACTTGATCGCTTTAGCTACTGTTACTTTTTGTTGTTGGGTATATTGTAATGTGTAGAGCCATGTATAAAGCAAATCTTCGTACATACAAAAGTATATATGCAATATTTATTCAATAGTAGTATGTATATGTATTAACAATGAAAATAATACAAGTAGCTTACATGCAGCAGAGAGAAGCAACAATTATAAAGACTTTTGAATAACTTTCTTAAAAAGCGCAACATTCTACGAAGCGATTCGTAGCCTTTGCAATTGTAAAATATTTTATTTTTTTTAATTTTATTGTATAAAATATTTAAAACAAGTAAAATTAACTGATGATATGTATGTATATGAAAAAAACTATAAGGAATAAAATATTTACTTGATCGCATACATAAATAATTTATACAAAATCGCAGACTCGAACTTATGCATACTCGATATAATTTAGCGATAATTATATAAAACGTAAATAAAAACAAAAAAAAACTTCAGACATACAGACAGCATGTAAGATATTTTAGGTGGCGACCTGTCGAATTGAATTCTTTACAATTGGACGGACATTATATATGAAAACACGTACATTTGTACGTGCAGACATACAATAAGTGCAAGCAAAACAAAAAAAAACCACTTCAGATAAAATGGGAAACCAGTTAGTTCGTAATTGTATTAAATTGGTAGAATATTCGTAGGTTTATATACATTCATATATAAATAAATGCATAATAAAATCTAATTAGTACATAAATCGTCAGCACACACTCCCTGAGTATCCTTTCCTCACCCATCAATCCAAAAATTATCCGCTATCTACCTATGTATGTCCACACCTGCACCTAAAAAAAAGTATATATATATACACCTTGAATATTTAGAGCATTTGTATTATTTGTATAATGATGGTATAAAGCAAAAATATATATTAAATTTATAATTATAAAATTATTACAATTAAGTAGCTTTACATTATTTATAAAAAATTAAAGTAAAATAAAAATTAAGAGGGAAGTGAATAAGTAAGATACATACACGCAACATGAGAAACAAAAATAAATTAAAAGTGAACTAATTTGCATATTATGTAATGTAATAAACGGATATAAATTAAAGATAGAAACAATGCTAAAATATTATAAAAAAAAAAAATAGTTTCATTTTTATCATTTGTGTAAATAATGTTGCCGCCACGAAGTTATCGCGCAAATGCAAATGTAGTTGTCAAAGTACCAAATTGCTGGCAATATTTATCAATATAAAATATCTGATAATTATTGCTTGCCAAGAGCAATATGTGGTCTCCATTGCGGTTCACAGCTGAAAATATAATTGCATACAAAAAAGTCGCCGTTTGTAAATGAAACGAGCAACTCCAAAAGGAAATATGAAAAATCGCGTCGACAAGTGTCCGTGTATAAACACGGACTTAGGAAATTTGCTACGCTTTCTACTACCGTTTTCTAAAGGTTTTTGTAAAAAACAAGAAATTTGTAGCAAAAAAAACCCGACTTCAATTCTCATAAAAAAAATATATATATATATACACTATATATTAAAGCGGGTTCGATTTAAAAATCGCTCATTGCTCTGTGAAAATCGTATTCTAGGGATCAAAATAAGAAACTTTGCCGAAGGAACCATACCTCTAAAACGAATTCTGATGTCCCCCAATTTGGGTCGAACTTTTGGGTAGGGGCAAATTTTGAAAAATCCCACTTTGACCCATTTAGAGTGCTCCAATCGAGTC